GTAATCACGTTCTCCTGTGTTTGTTCTTAAATGAATATTACTTTCTTTTCGCTAATGGTTTTGAAAATATCTCTTATATATTATTTGGGAAATGATCTGTGAGAGTTTGCTTAGGTGTTATCTCCACATTCACTTTCTAAAAAAACTATGACATGGAAATATGACATTACATCTCTCACAAAAGAAATTTTTCTTTTTGATCTGTGATCTGTGAGAGTTTTGTAACTATCTTTTTTTAACAAAATAAAATTTCTCTTGAAAATTTTATAATAAATATTTATTACAAGAACTGTTACTAAATAAATTAAAAGAAATGAAAATATATTCACATTATTTTTAAAAAAATTATGAATATATTTTTTAACACAAGAAAGTTTTAAAATGACCAAGATATTCAAGATCATTCGTATGTGAAGTTACAATTACATAACTTAAAAAATAATACAATTATATATTATTACGTTTTCATATTGAAAATATAATTTTTAAATTCAATTTACAAATCGATTAAATCTGTATTTTTATTTGGTTTAAAATAAAATAAAAACTGTTCTTCAATATCAAATCAAACAATATTTTTTATGGAAATAAAGAAATAAATACAAAATTTAGCGATGGAAAATTGTACAATTTGCATATTTTGGCATATACATGTTTTGATATTATCATATTTGTATCATAAAATTGTTCTGCAAGTTGCAATCTCCTAAATATATAAATACTAAAATAAATTCCTTACAAAATCTTTCATAAATAAATTTTGTATTTATTTTTCTAAAAAAATTAATTAGTAAATTTCAGTAATGTTTCTTTAAATATGAATTTAAATACTTTTTATATATTTGATAATATTTATCATTTTTGATTTGAAAAATGTAAACAAAAAGTTAATTCACGTATAACGCGGGAGTCAACTAATATTTGATTAGAATTAATGTTTCGACATAATTTGCAGCAAGAGATCGTGTGTTACTTGAAGGAAAACTTTAAGTTTTGAAGAATGAAAAAGAGACCCGTGTTTATATATATGTTTTGGTGGAGAAGATCCTGTGAAGATTTTTGATTCATGCTAGATATATAGTCGACGTATTATTGCTTATCCG